GGAATAGAATACGCCCACGGTAATCCCTGCCTGTCGTAAGGGGCGACTAAAAGGGACTGTTGGGATCGCGGGACTGCGGCACCCGTGGTCCGGCGGGGGGGGGGAGCTCTCGCTTCCCCCACCACAAAGAGGGCGCTCCGCCGTCTACTGGTGGAGTTGGCGCTGGGGGGGTACCGGTTGTGTTCGCAAGAGATCCCGGTGGCACCGGGCCGGTGCCTCCCCGCATAGCGCCGAGCCCGGCCACCGTGAGGGTTTAGTGGGTATTTCCCCTGGGCTTTGCCCTCTTGGGGATGAGTCCCAAACTACCCCCGCCCACGCCTCCCACATTGGAGGATGGCGGGGGTGTGCGTAAATGCATTCCCTCACGTAAAAAAAAAAAAAAAAAGAAAAAAAAAAAGGTATCAACTCGGTTCGATTCCAACTCAGCTATCGGATCCGTTGACAGATATTCTGTTTCATTTTAAATGCCCAGTGTCGACCTCAGGTCGTTGACGCTCAGCGTTCGGCAGCTCAAATAAGCACATTGTAAAAAATTCTTGACTGGCTAAGTATAAACGTAGTGGCTTTAGCACGTGGGTGGGTAGCCAGACAAATGTTTTATGAATTTTTAGTACTTAAACTATTACCAAAATAATTTTCAGTCGTAATCGAATAACGTAAGGGTATTGTCATTTTTTTAAAACTTTGACACTATAATGTCAAGCGCAGCGGGTCCAAGCTGCCAGACTACGATTTTCTCATTTCTGACTAATTGTCAGTTAACTAAAACCTCACAAATTTTCAGCTGTAATCAAATGATGTAAATAAAAAGGTCACTGGCTTCCTGACTAGAAGTCTGAACGTAAAAGCCAGCGACCGACGATCGAAATACAACGTAAACAGATAAAGAACGAAACGTAACACGCATGAACGAAAATTTAATCTCTTATAGTTTTCAGTATACATTCATTAAAGTGTCACGAATGAATAGAGGAGATACTGCTGGTGGAAATGAGTCCAAATACGACATCATTCGGACTATTTCCAATAATATATCATTTTTATCTGCAACATTGCGTATGAGTAAAAATTGTTCAATTACGCTCGAATTTGGACGCATTTTCATCGCAAGAATCTCTTAAATTCATTCATGACACTTTCATAAATATATATATTGAAAATTGTAAAAGTTTAAATTTTCATTCGAACGTGATTCCTTATCTCATCTACGTCTGTTTACATTGTATGCCGACTGTCGGTCGCTGGCCTTTGACGTTCGACATTTCCGAATAAAAAAAGTAACTTTTATTCATCGGATAATTCCCGTCGAATAAATTTATTCAATCGGCGCTCGTCGAATAAAGATACTTTTTTTATTCGAATAATGAATAAAGATAAAGTATCTTTTATTCGAAGAGTTATTTAAATAATTTTTTATCTAGATAATGCCCATCTCTGATCTCATGAAGCTTTCTAGTCCCCAATACCTTCATTTTTTTTCATTCATATAGCTAGACTGTATCATTTTTATTATCCATTTTCTTTTTTAATTAATTTAAATCTTCACATCTACACCTTGTTTTCTAATAATAATGTTGCACGTTTACATCTTTCCTCACCGCTAAGTCTATTTATTATCGATAATTAATAAAAAAATATAAGATCTATTGCATGTATAAAAGCTGTTGACTAGTTAAAAACTTGTAATACAACATAGTGTTTAAGGTTTTATCACCTTATATAAGAATACAATATTGTCTACACTACCACTAACTTTCTATTTCTTTTTTTAATCTAGTTACATTGGATAACTGTCTCAATACATAAAACCAAGTATACATAACACATCGAAAAGGTTGTTCGTTGATTAAATTAAATAAATGAATAAATGAAATAAATAAACATTTGATATACACCAACATACTTAAAATACTCCTCGGAAGACAGCATTCGAGTGTAAAGATGACGGAGTTCCTTAACGAGGCCGTTGTTATCGAGGCAGTAAGTGTTGTTGCCGTCACTGGTACAATTGAAACTTTTGCAGACCGTCTCGATGGACATGCAGGTTCTGTTATAGAATACCATGTTGGAATTCTCATTCTGACACTCTGTCTGTTGTAGGGCACTGTAACAATCTGCAGACATTATGCTTTTTGCGACCTACATCCAATATCGTTCTCTCGGTTATACGGTGATTAGAAAGAATCATCAAAGCTCTCGAAAGGCTATGGTTTATTGAAACGAAATAAACAGCGATTAGAGTATACGACGTGTCGTAGAATTAAGGGTTCCATTTTATACGTGATAGCTGGCCGTATGTACATACCTACCTCCCTATAAGACACTTATGTTGCGATCATTGGAAGGAGGGACTAATTGCGTTGACGCTATATTGGTCCCCTATTTATTTTAGAGATACTTTCTTGTAACGGGTTTTGTTGTCGCTTCTTCGCTAAAGTGTTCAAAGCGACGCGTAAATATACGTGTTAATCCTAAACTATGTAGTGTCGTAAAATTTATATTACCGGTTTCAATAGTGACAAAAAACTTCTGGGAAACATTTTCCATAAAGCGGTAACTGTTAGGGCTAAGGTTTTTAAATATAAATCGTGGCTAGCCTATACTGTGATTCGAATATACAGGGTGATCTGAAAATAGGGTCGAATAATTTACATAAGAGAACTATGATACCTACTAATTAGAATGAATAGAAAATATCTTGTCGACATGGGTTCGCCAATTAAGTATTGGGATTTTTGAGGTTGTGGATCGGTCGAATAAAAGATGTCTGCGCGTCTTTTACAATACAACGACGACGTTGACTACGTCGTAAAACGTGCGCGGAAAACACGAAAAAGGGAGCACGCGGCACACGCCGTAAGCGCGTTAAGCCGGGTACTCACCAAGCGAGCGAGCACGAGCGAACATTCGCTTGTGTTCAACTGAAATGTTCATCCTAGGTCCACATTGGAACGAATTTGTTTCTGTTCGCAATTGATCCGAACACTGACCGCGAACAGATTGTGAAATAATGAATAGGAAGAAATTAGTTTGTGCAAGTGCTGCTTTTATTGTGGTAAAGTTAAGTGCAAAAAATACGAACGAAGAAAACAAGATAAACGATGGTGGCAAACTTCACTGTTTAAAAACAGACAACGGTATAGTGGAAGTCATTTGTTAAGGGACTTGCAGGTGTTAGGAATAAGAAGGATATGAAATGATCCGAAATTTCTGTAGAATGTCGACCGAAGATTATTAAAAATTGCTACAACTTTTTGAAACAAAAATAATGAAAAGTGATACACACTGTAGGAAAGATATTCTACGATTTTGGCTACAGTAAGCTTCTATGAGTTTAATGAGCATTTGCTCGCTCGCTTGTGCTCGCTCAGCGGTACACACCAAACGAGCACGGAGTGAGAATGCTCGCTCGCTCCTGTTCGCTCGTGCTCGCTCGCTTGGTGAGTACGTGGCTTTAGGCAGCATAGTCGAATAACATGGTCATGGTGGCAACATTAAGAAACTAAAAACGCCAGATGTGTGACGAATCAAAAAACAATCAAAGAAAAAAACGTTTGGTTCAACATTAAGCTTGGGTGAGATAGGATAAGGTGAAGATGAGTATTTATTTTGAGTTAGATTTCTTTGGCAGTTTTTATTTTATAAAAGGTGTTCTATGTATCTATCTTCCACTTGAATGCAAATTTGACATTTCCGTGAGAAGGGACTACGCATAGTTTGAAAAATGCCTGGTTTATGTTGAATTGTTTTATAGGTGTTCTGTATTCTGCAGATCAAAGCGAAAATAAAGTTCTTATACCTTTTGCGGAATTAATTTACGAACCAATCTTGAAGGATACTTTTTGTTTAGTTTAATGAATACTACATATCCCTAATTATACGATATTTTTTTTCAGATTACTGAACTGAACTAAATTCTGAATACTGCTCTTTGATACATCGTTATATGAAATACTACCCATGAAACGGTCGGGATAATGATGAAACTGTAGAGAAGTTAGCACAGCATGATTACAGAGATGCAATGCTCCACTTTCACTTTTTACTTATTTCTACATATTTCTAAATTGTAATGAAATGTACAAATGTATGTGATATTATGAACAATCAAACATAAACTCAATAAAAGTCGAAAGTTGATTAAGAAAATCTTTAGATTAATTAAATAGATTATACGTATACAGGGTAAATCCTGTAACATGGCGATTGCAAATAACTCGTAAGTTATTTGTTGTACGACAAAATTTTTCACGCAAACGTTGCATGGTTTCCAGGAGAACATACAATGCTATAATCTGTTTTTTGTTACTTTGCTTTTTTATCGAGATATGAGGGTCATTTTCAGTTTTTTAAATGGAACGCCAAATACGGTTTGAAATTAATAATTCGTAAAATAATTTGTAAAACAAGTTTTATTTCAAGCGGTGTTCGAAGTGTTGTTCATTAGAATCAATGCGCTTACGTAATCGGATTATGAGTGAACGAAGAATTTTTTCTAGTGTTTCTGCAGTTATTGGATCGGAATAATCCAATAGAAATAATCGGGCGGTGTTAAATCTGGAAAACGAACTGGCCAAACAATGTTACTGCACGTCCGATCCAACGACTAAGAAACATCCTACTTTATATTTGTCGCAATTCCGAGTATAATGTGCTGGACAGTCGGCCTATTGATACCAAATTATTTTACATATTAGTCACGTTACATATTCTAAGAGGCCTGGTAGTGTTTTGGACAAAAATGTGGAGTATGTTTGACCTGTTGATGAACCTTCAATGAATTACGGTCCAATGATTTGGTGACCAATTATGCCGCACCAAACATTCACTTTCCACCGGTGTTGGTGGTCACTTTAACGAATCCAATGTGGATTCTCTGTTGCTCAATAATGCATATTTTGTGTATTAATATCTCCGCAATTTGCGACTGTAGCTTCGTCAGTCGATAAAGCAGTCTGTACAAATATACCATTCTAATCTTCCATTTGGTTCAACAACCAATCACAGAATTGTACGCGGTTCTCAAAATCTCGTTCATGTAGCTTCTGGTGTACTGACAGGTGATACCGATGAAAGTTATCCGAATGCAGAATACGGACAACACTGTTTTGAATAATGCTGGAACAACGCGACAGCTGCTAAGGTAGAAGTTAAAAGTACGACATCCTTCATCATTTACAATTTTACGACAGTTACGTTTCTGTACGTTAAAATTGCCATGTTCTTGGAGCCGTTTACTGAGCCTTATAAAGGTAAAATGTGATGACTGATTTCGATCAGGATACTTAGTTTGGTATAATATCTTAGCTCTCGTAGCATTTTCATCACACGCACTATAAACAATTATGATATCGCAATTTTCTCTGTTACTGAACATCTTGATTTTACGTTTACTGAGCTACTAAACAGCTACTAAACTATCTACATCCCATATTAATAATGTCTAACACGTAATAAGGAACGTGTTTACAAACATGACTTGCCGTCGTAAACGAAGTTGTGTTCTCCCGTTGACTGAGTATTATGAAATATTTCCCAATAGAAGATTATTAATTTGAGAATATCTCAGTAATTATTCCTTTTAAACCCTCTTTGGTATAATATTTCTGAACGCAGAATTTGTTGCTTTCTCCGAATTCAGGACAAAATATTGGACACATATTTAAAAAACTGAAGATGACCCTCATATCTCGATAAAAAAGCAAAATAACAAAAAACAGATTACAGCACTGTATGTCCCTTTGGTAAGCATGCAACATTTGTTTGAACAATTGTTTTGTACAACAAATAACTTAAAGTTATTTGAAGTTGTCACGCTACGAGACTCACTCTGTATGTACCTACTTTAAAGAATAAAAATCTTTTTAAGATATTCACGATAGAACCCACGTCCATTTCATCATAAATTTATTGTGCTCTTTACGGATTAAATTACCGTGAAAATCAATGAACGCAAAAGCAATAATATAATAGCAAAACAAGCAATATTATTTGTTATAAGCTTCCAGTGTAATTCTGTTACCCGTATATTATATTATAATATATTATCGCCAAAGTTGGAACAGACAAAATAATAATACCATAATATGAAAAACATTTTATTTAATATTAACTCATAATTTAATTTCAATATATGACACCTTATATTATTCCTTCGTACCTATAGTACCTAATTGAATACAATTTATGAAAAACAAAACTTCTCAATTCGCGGTAATGAATATTTTCTGTTACACTATCTTAAAATTTTTTGTTTCGTTTTTATGATGTGTGCAGAATTTAAGGAATTATTATGGTTTCTGAACCTTCCGAAAAAATATTCTTTAGTCTACCATAGATTTAATCGCGGCACGTCTCAGAACACTCAATACTCATAACAATTTTCTAATTAAAGTTTTCAACATTTGATTCGTTTTTCATTAAAATTGTTATTACGGTCTTTATAAACGGTTTGTTGTATATGATTCATTAAGTGATATTACGACAAGTGATTTTACCTCGATTGCTTGAACTGTTGCCAACGACTGCAGAAACGTTACATTAAAACAAAGATTACCAACGACCTCGGCGACCACACTTTCCTGATATTGTAGCATCTTGGGAACTTTTCCCTTGGAGAAAATATGCAAAAATCGAGTTCGATACTGATTAAGTTGACTTGTGCTGGAAATTGAAGAACTTTAACAGCTTTAGAACTTTAATGGATGATCTTCGCTCAAGCTTACCGATAGATACTTTTTTTAACTTCGTTCTTTTCTATGTTTTCAATTATTGTATCAAAGCAATGCATAAAGTTCTTGTCAGCATAGCTCGAAGCGGGTTTCACTGATTGTTTTGCGATGAAAAAGTACGGCATTTATTCTGTCTTTAAACGTACTATTTAGCTAATTATTTATTACGAATGAATCTTTACTTCACTAAAAACTAAACAATTTTTGGTCACTTAAATCTTCTGTAAGATAAGAATAAGATTTTTTTAAATAATAATTTATTTTTATCTAATTATTCTGGAAACTACATTTTATGTAAATATACTGTCCAATACTATTTCCAATTTTAACATAGTTAAATCATTAAGCAATTAGAGGGCTCTTTCATTCATAAATTTAATTCA